GCACACGTCTGCGGCGCGTTACAGCTCCACGGGAACCGGAGCTGATCGCGGCCGCTCTAGTCAGTGCTTGTGTTTCTGAAGCTGCTCTCCACGCTGCTTGGCTAAAAATAGCCTTTTGTGAGTTGGCACAGCATGAAGGACGGAACAAAACCTCGTCGGAGCCGTAAGGGGTAAAGGTAACAATACGCTGATCGTGGGCTGCTTTTAAATTAACATTTATTTAAAAAACAAAATATCTTTGGCCATATTAGCCTACTCAATAGCATTAACACAGGCTTTACTCCTTTCAAACTTTATCTTGAATGCCGTTTCTGTCACTGCAACTTCCCGATCAGGCGAACGAACACACACACACACACACAAAATCGTCTGCCTCATGAAAAAAAAAATTATAAAAAAAAAATGTAGTTAATATTTGCATCATTTACGATTTATTTTATCCACCCACCCGCAAATAATCAGAATACATTTTTTATTACCCGACCCGCAGATTATCCGCAGCGCCCGTGGATATAACCGTGATCGAACTACTCCGTTTTGTTCTTTCAGTAGTTTAAATGTTTCTATTTCTTTTTCCCTCTTCAGTCTTATATTGGACAGTATTAAACCTTATGTGTTACATCAGACTTCTCCATGTTAGAGTTTAAATGTTTCTATTTATTTTGTCCTCTCTCTAACATTGGACAATGTTAAACTAAACCTAACGAGTTGCATCAAACTACTTCAATTAGTTCTTTTAGGAGTTTAAATGTTTTTTTTAATTAAATATTTATTTTGTCCTCCACAGTTTACTATTTCCAAATAGAATCAATAACAAAGGCATATAACATGCAAGATGAAATGAAAATGACATCGAACATTTTCTAAAGATAGTCGTCCTTCAGAAATAGTGATAAAAACACCTGCGCCTTGTTTTGATTTTTAAATGTGCAGTACGTGCTTATGTTTATTCAACGAAGCCTTTTGGAAAATCGGTCAGTTTTGATATTGTGGCAAGCGCCACAAATAAATGTATGGAAAACACATCCCACAGCACAACCACCTAAGCCCAACTTCAGTCTACTCATCACCTTAACTTTGACTGCGTTCGTAGCCGGCGCCATAGCCAGACTGATAAACAAACACAGACCGGAAGTTAACTTTGGGCGACGAAACTGTCTATATAAAGCTTGAAGCATCAGAATCGGCATCAGTATCGGCCTGTATAGTATAGGAGCATCCCTAATTCATACTTCTCCTATAACATAAAAGTTCTTTAACGTTGTGTTTCACGTCATTGCTTTGGCAAGTATCCGTCAAACGAATTAAAACCAAAAGCGTAATATGACTTATCAAGTCTGTTTGCGCTGCTTGTTTCAAAGTGAAGCGCGCATTTTGCACACGCGATCAGCTCATGATCAGGTGTTTTCCGTGTCTCAGAGCGGCTCCGTTCACAGTGAATGCAGTGAACTCCATTATTGAATGTGCTGTGAGTTTAGCGCATTTGGGAACGCAACGGCCACCAGTTATACATAATTTGCACATTTGCATAATTTTCAACATTTTAATGGGCTAATGTTTACAGTATTTCATTAAATTAGTAATGTTTGTAAACCTGTTTTCACAGAAGCTGGAGTTTTCCGCCAAAATAAAAGCTCAAGGGTTTATCGCTTGCAAGCATGGCCTAAAATTAACAGACGCGCACAGAGAAAATACTGTACAGGTACAGCAAGCTCACTGTTCGGAAGACAAATATAAATATTGGGGTGGGGGTTTATATGAATATATTTCTGAAGGGAACTGACTTCACAAAAGTTTCGATGGCATTTTTTCCCCTATTATCACTGCTGATCCATAAGCGCCACCTGCTGTCATAGTGAATTTGCGTTCTCATTCAGCCTGTCTGTTTTTGTTTCATGCAGGTTTTATCTTTGTATTAGGGCTGCACGATAAATCGCATGCGATATTTAACACGCATCTTGTCAGTAAAGCCGGTTCTGTAATCAACGTTCATATTCGCGCGATTTTTCGCGCAGCTCGTCAGTGAACAACGGCTCTGTGTAGTTAATGCTGCTCAATGTGAAAGCACGCACGTGATGGAGATTTACCGCTGATTACAGAACCGGATTTCTGACAAGATGCACGTTAAATATTGCATGCGATTTATCGTGCAGCCCTACTTTGTATCTTGATTAAAATGCAGTGGTTGGTTCTAATTTCAAATGGCTTTTTTTATTAAATATATTTAGTTGTTGTAGTAGTAGCAACTGCCCGTTTTTTGCAAAAACAGTTTCATGGCAAGAAAAAATATTTATGGCCGGTAAATTTTCTCAATTCACCAGCCACTGGCAGACCCCCCTAGAGGGATCGAGGACCACCCACCAGTCTCACAAAATCCTGTGGGAAACACTGCAGAGGCTGTTTGTTTAGAGCACAAGGCTCGCTTGTGTGGCTCAGGATGTTGATCTGCATCAAGTGCGTTTAACATGCTGAAGGAAAAGCCTGACAATCACTCATACTCACATTTCTTCTCTGTGAACTGGTGCAGTAAGCAGGACTTCCCTACGCCCATGTCTCCTGTGGAGAGAGAGCAGACATGAGAGCCTGACAACACACGACTGAACGCTTCACTGCTCCTGATTCACTCACCGATGATGATGTACTTGAAGATGTAGGAGTAGTTGTAGGGTGCAGTGGCCATTGCCGCTCTGAAACAGACAGACACACACACACGTGATCGTTAGCATACAGCTGACCACAGTTACACAGACACACGTGTTTGTCCAGCTCGTGAGTTGTGTAACCTCTCAAGCGGCTCTGAAGTATGTTGAAACCTGTGCTATGGTTTTGCACTTGAAAATGAAAAATTTAAGACAGTCATAAATATTCGTATTGTAATTTTACAGTAATGTAAAATAAAATGATTGTATTATTTTTCTTAAATGCAGTAATTCCTCATTTTTAATTCTACAATGAAACATTAAAACAGTAATTTTTTATTTTAATTTAATAACAACAACATTTATAATAATTTTTATAAATAATTTGCAATTTTTACCAGAAAAATCTATATATTTTTTTAAGTATATTTGCCCCCCAAACTGTGCAGCGCTACTAGAGTTTTTATAGACCACATTCCCATTGTTTTTGACCCATTCAATGTGATTCAACTGTCTATTATTTATAATTATTTTACATTACACTGTATAGTTACTTTACTAACATTTACAGTGAACTCTTTTGGAAAAACATGCATTAAGCAACTTTCTGAACAAGACTGTTAGCATTAACAGTCCGATAACATGCCTGACAGTCAAATCACAGAAGTCACACGCTGCCGTTCAATCAGCACACGAGTGTCAGCCTGGAGTGACGACATCTGATCAAAAACAATGGAAGACTCTTTCATTTCTAACAGGCTTCATGTAATTCATTATGTTCACAATCATAAAATTTTCAGGTCTTTGAGATATATAAGTTCAATAAAGGCTTGATATCAGATTCTGTCTGTTCAGAGCGAGGTTTTCTAAACTACAGCACTGAATGTCTGTTGTTCCTGAAGGTGGCGCTGTTGTTTGTAGTGACCGATGTTGAAGTCAATAACAGCACATGAAATGTCACATGACTCCAGCGCTGACAGTAAATGTGCTGTATGTCCATTTTAGACTCACTTCTTACAACAAATGTATGTTACAGAGTTGACGTTTGCAGGCCTATATTTTTGAGTATTAGTCTATTGATGTATGTGTTGAATTAATACAAATGTATACAAATAGACACTTTATGAAATACAAACCTAAAACAATAAGTCTGATATGTACAGTCACCAGAATGCTTTGACATTAGATTTCCGTGTGAACTTTCAGTTCTTAAAGGGGTCCTATTATGCTTTTTCCCTTTTTCAACTTTAGTTAGTCTGTAATGTTGAGCATAAAAAAGACCTGCAAAGTTACAAAGCTCAGAGTCCAATTCAAAAAGAGATATTTTATTTAACAGAAATCACTTTTTAAAAACTACAACGAACGACTCGTTTGGACTACAACGCATATTTTCCGGGATTTGTGATATCACAAATATCAACGAATGGGACGAGAACTGGTTGAGCTTCACTAGAGAAGGCAACGAGTGTTATCACTATGTCGGAGACACGCTAGCTTTCCCAAGGCAGACGAACTTAGAGTCGTTACAATCATCCGGGTTTAAATCGCGCTCAAATTAATTTGATATTGACGCAATATTTACACTGAAGCTCACAGGC